AATTGCAGGCGTTTCGATAGTTATCATTAGCCCTGGAGCTGACTTCGGGGCTTTCCAGATATAAGAAGGAACATGATAGTGACAAACGTCGAGAGTGGGAACAGAAGAGTGATACATAGGTATAAAGGAGACAGGAAGAAAGACACAAAGGCATAAAACAGGTAAATGAGTACTGTGGAGGTGTTTGAATATGACAAATAGTCGCCCCATAGTAGTTTGAAGTCAAAAGTCAATTGCCGATCAACAGACTTCTTTGCCGTATAAGTATACGTTGCCCAGGTTGCACCACGTGATTGTAAGTCTATTACGTACTCCACATTCGTAAACATAGAAATTGATAGTCACTCAGCATAACTTTTAGTGCCCGCAAACAAGTTGAAAAGTCTTTGAATGTCAACAATGTAAATTTTATGGAGGATTCGTTGATTTGAAGCGACTTACTAACATTAATGTTTAATTTAAAAGTAAAGATATATATTTACGATTTCTCTATCATTTATTGATTTGACGGGAATCTAAGAATCTGCACATATGCAGGTCTTAAATATTATAAAGATGGCTTCTATTCGATTGTCATTTGGATAATGGGGAATATTGAGACAAGCCTTTAAGTTCCAAATCAAAGCAAAGACCTTTAATGAAGCCAACACGGTAGTATTTGTGCGTGTAATCTAGAGTACCATGCTGTGCGTTTACTTTCAGGTTTGCTTTGAATAAGAAAATAATTTAACTAAATACATCAAGATATATAAAACTAATAATTCCATCTCCACTACTACAATTTTTCTCGTTACTTAGATTATCTGGTTTGGTTCCAGCCCATTCGCAAAGTGTATACTTACCTGTCTATAAAGCGATCTTGAAGAAAAATGTTTTATGAAATTCAAGGAGAGATTAAAAGAGAAATGAGCAATAGGAATAGAAATAAGTTGATCTTCAAATGTTGTATTCGTCTAATCGATAAATTATAAAATAACAGTAGGGTGTTTTGTCCATAAATTTTAGGTTAATTTAAACTAAATTGTGCTACGTGTTTTTCAATCAGGTTGATTATTAACTTACAAGACTGGGTTTAAGAGTGCCCTTAAACTTAAAGCTAACATATATCGAATCGCTTCCTTTCGCCAATCTAACAAATGGATAAGAAGCATCCAGTATATCAGATCCTATAAAAATATGGGTACGTTAGGAAATATAAAATGAACATAATATATTAATAACAAAATATTATATATATATATATATATATATAAAACTTTCTTTTTTATTAAAATTTAGTTATTTATTCAGTATACCCTCTTTCACAGGCTTGTAAATGCACTTTGGCAAGAAGTTGATGACACATCTATATTGCACTCCAAGGACAACCAATTGGTCTACGTTTGGCCCTTCTTTCATTGAAATAAAGGCAAACCCTTTATAATTGCGTTGTATTAATTTGCTAAATTACCCACTCTGTCATAGCAGGGCCTCTTCAGAAGTTAGGTATCCATTTCGCATGTATTATTTTTAATAGTTATATATTTTGTACTATCATGCGAAATGCCATTTATAGTCTGAAAACCAAAAATCATTTGAAAAATTCAAAACGTACAAGCAGCCCGCCTGTCCGAATTAACAAAGGCTCTGATTCATTGCTCAGCTTTGTGAAAAGTCGTGAACAAATTGCATCGGTCGGATTGAATATCACATTCCCGAAGGAGACATATGGTTGAAGGCGCATAAAGACTTGCAAAGAGGCGGTCATGTGTTTTGAAATGTCGTTAAGCAATCCTCACAGCTTTTATATTTCCTTTTTGAAAAAATAACTGCCATTTTAATTGCGAATTCTAAATATAAGCGTTTGTTTAGCGCGTATACCAAGTCCAAAACTACTCGTGTGAAAAGAAATGCGCAAATTGCCAATGCGTGTACTGTGCTTATGTTAATGTTTATCTCTAATTGAACATGATCACTTTGCATTCAATGTTTCAATCAAATTTCCATTTTTAGTACATTGGAAATAAATGTCCTTAATAAAAAACGATTTAATGACCAGTTATTTAAAGGATTTATCTGCTGATATGAAATTCATGTTGTGGAATGCGTTCAAGCCTCTGCATTGTGTGTATAGCCTTTACATCATCCAAAGACATCCACTTGTTCTGGTCACAATTCGTGAAATCGTCATGTGGATTTCACTTGCTTTCAAGTTAAATAACCTAAAAATTGCTTAAAATTATTTTTTAAATATTGTTTATTGGGAAAAAAGCATTACCAGACATTCAGACTATTACGATTTTACAACGCCATGAATGCGATAACTTACCTGCAATGAAATCGAATCTGTTTGCACAAATTTTATTATTTGCAAAGGGAATGTTAAGTAGTTGCTCAATTGAATTAGTTAGCATACCTTGGAGGTCAAAGTAATCATTCTGACGTTAATTGAAAAAAAGACATTTTTTTCTTTCAAACGAAAATGATGAATTATTCCAAAGTTTCGTATTCTACTAAAATACCCACAGTGAGGATGAGAGTCTTTGACTGCTGTATATTTGCTTTGGAAAAATGGAGTAAATTTAAATAAACATTTCGGGCTCATTTAGTGTAATTACTTCGAGAAAAAAAATGAATTGCTATTGTAAATTTAGAGTTGTTATTTCGAGATGATTGTTAGAAAACATCTACTGTTTAGCACATTACACATCTGCCAATTAAGTTAAATTTAATGTGAAATTGGTATAAATCAATCAATGGGTAAATTTCATCAGCTCAATAAATCGAATTTTCAATCACACGAGGTAAACATGAGATGATAAATAGTGATCAATGTAATCTACATTTACGCGTTTACAGGATTACTTTAGCACACACGTATTGATGATGTATTTGCTTCAAATGGAACTTCTATAAAACGTAAACATGGTTTAACACGCAACTGTAAGGTTCAGAATTTGAAATACTTAAAGTCAAACTTAAAATTAAGACGACCAATTACGTTGCTTAAAATGTAAATGTAAGGCTGTGCAAGCAGCTTTAACCAGGAGGAGCTAGAGACCACGTTGGTGGCACAGAGAGCTCTATTTATTTTAAACACAAAATTTACAACCACCAATATATATCTACTGTCCACATTATTCTAATCAGCGATAGTCCCAATTGTCACTGTATTTTGGCAAGGCATTACTGGTGAAAAATTAGTAAGACATCATAAAATAAGTAAACCGAATAAGCTTTGATTGAGTCGAACATGCTGGATAGTCATTTGACTCAATAGGAAACGCTGGAGTCTACGTTGCTAGAATGCTATTAGAGGAAAGTGGATTAACTATTTCCCTGGGAAAATTTGACGATGATATAGTGAGGTGAAACAGTAGGTGGTTATGGTTAAACACCGAGGAGACCGTTCATTTGATAATCATCGTTGACTCTTCGTAGGTCATATTTTGCGTGGGACTGGCTCAAAGCTCTCAGTTAGCAAATTGGTTGTTTAAATTTCAACAGAAGAAGTTCACAGAAGACTAGAGCCATAATTCATTTCAAATAATGCCATTTGTAAGATCGATTGAATTTATGGTGAGATTGTAGATTTAATGAAGATGGAATTAACCTGACCTGTGAGGGGAATGATATTTGGTCAGAGGTGGAGGAACTTCATGC